TTGCGTTGATAGGTCTCACGTAGTTTATTATTTATTTATTATAAATTGCATAAACAAGTGGTTGAATGATGACTAACAAATCGACCAAAATAACATCGTCAGTTGAGAACGATGATTTAGATTTTAGATGTGTGGAAACTGTCTTTTGAAAATGAATCACGTCCATTTCCACTTTCATAGTCTTATTCATTGATTAATTGATAGTGCATTTTAAAATGTGTTATTCCCCAGTGCAAATTTTTTGATGACGAAAGTGTCATACATTTTTTAAATTTCACATTGACCCATTTGAGTTAAAAACTTACACAGGTACTCCCTGTTTTATTTTTGTCCTTTTCCCATTTAGAGAGATCTTAACCAATCTTGGAGATTAACATGCTCAAAAGTCAGCGACAAAAAAAATGTTTTTGGTCCCAAACAAAAAAAAATCAATCTAAATTATATTATAAAACCTAATTATAGCTCTAAGTATAAATAAAAGGTTATCTGAATTAGTACTTCGATCCACTTCCAAGCATATGCAGTAGCTTTAAATTTATTGATAATGCACTTTGAAGTGTGTTATTCCCCAAAGCAAACGAATGGATTTTCTGATAACGAAATTGTCATAAATTTCAAGATTCCCATTTGATTTCAAAACTAACCCACATACGCGCTGTTTTTCTGTTTACAGGCCACACTTTACAACAAAAGTTCCGCCGAAGTGGGCAGCCTGATCTCGGCAAAAGTGAACGGAGCCACCCCGCTGGTCATCTCCTGTCGCAATGGACACTACGACATTGTAGAATACCTATTGACAAAGTGTCGGGCCAACGTGGAGCAGGTGGGATCGGTCAGTTTCGACGGGGAGCCCATCGAGGACGCCCCACCGCTGTGGTGCGCAGCGGCTGCCGGCCACCTGGGCATCGTCAAGATGCTCGTCCGGCGGGGGGCGAATGTAAACAGCACCACCAGGACGAATTCGACACCGCTGAGAGCCGCCTGCTTTGACGGGCACTACGAGATCGTCAAGTATTTGGTGCACCACGGAGCGGGTTAGTAGCTTATTACTATTTTAAATGAGAGTGTGTGCTAATTTTGTGCTACTTCACAGACTTTGAGGTGGCGAACCGACATGGCCACACCTGCCTGATGATCGCCTGCTACAAGGGCCACTTCCGCATCGCCCAGTATCTACTATCCCTGAACGCGGACGTCAATCGCTGTAGCGTGAAAGGAAACACCGCGCTGCACGACTGCGCCGAGTCGGGTTCCCTGCAGATCCTCCAGCTGCTGCTCAAGCACGGCGCCACAATGGACGTGGATTACTATGGAATGACTCCGCTGCTGGCGGCCAGTGTCACCGGTCACATGCCCATCGTAGAGCACCTAATCACACTGCCCTGCGTGAGCAGGGAGTCGAGGATTCACGCTCTGGAGCTGCTGGGAGCCACCTATGTGGACCGGAAGAGAGACATGGCTGCGGCACTTACTCTGTGGCGTCGAGCGCTCGAGGAACGGTCTCTGGGACAACCGCTGGAGAAGAAGGTTCAGGAACCGGTGCCAGCTTATGAGATGGTCAAAGAGGTGACCAGCGTGGAGGAACTGGAGGAGATGGTGTTGGATCCCGACGAGATGCGAATGCAGGCTCTGGTCATAAGGCAGCGCATTCTGGGACCCACCCATCCAGACACCAGCTATTACATCCGATTCAGGTAAGCTCTGCTCTTTATTTAAGTCACTTAAGCTGAACGAAACTCTTACGAAAGCATTAAGGCTTAACACCATTGGCAAATATAAAGTTGTTTGTTAGTTTGTATCACAAATGACAATATTCTCTACAATCGTTCTAAAGGTTATTCTTTGACACAACAAATGCTATAATCTTATCAACCCATAAATAGAAATAAATAAATAAAATCAGCATTTGTGAAATATGATGGGCAATAGAGATACCAACTTAGCGCTGGTGAAGACAATTCAATGTTCCAATTAAAATAAATCTTTTACATTTTTGATACCTTGTCTGAGGGTTTTATAATTTAAGAGAAAAATTAGCAAGGCAGTTCCAAAATGAGTTGGTTTGGTTATAACATCTCATAGACATTATTAACCATTCCTAATTCTCTTCTCAGGGGTGCCCACTATGCGGATGCTGGACGCTTCGACCGGTGCATCGAACTCTGGTCATATGCCTTGACCATGCAGCAGAAGATCCTGCAGCCACTCAGCCCGATGACGCAATCCTCGCTACTGTCCTTCGCCGAGCTCTTCAGCTTCATGCTGGTGGAGGCGGGTCGCCTTCTGCCAAGGGGTCGAGTGGTTCCACCCATTGAGGCGGACGGCATGCTGACCATTTTCTACAAGGCGGTCAAGGAGGTGGAGCGGGGCCAGGCTTTTACGCTGGAACAGCAGAAGGACCAGCAGGACCCGCAGAAGCAGCTGCCGGCAGCTGACAAATCGCCATCCTGCTCTGCTTCCTCATCCTCTTCCGCATCTTCCTCCTCCTCAACGACACTGCTTTCGGCGCATCAGCACGATTGTAACCACGATCCCAATGCCCTGAGTCGCACCATGATAAGTGCCATTCACATAGGCTGTCTGCTGAGTTCCCTGCTGGACACAGATGCCCTCAACCCGGAGATGCGTCGCCAGGTGATGGGGGCCCTGTACCGCCTGAATCGCTTAAAGGTTCGCGTTCGGTTCGACCGGACCGCTCTGCACTACGCCTGCTATCGGGAGGGCACCCTGGCCGGCCGCTATCCCTCCTGCCAGTTCCCCTCGGTGACTCTAGCGAAAGCCCTGCTGGAGGTGGGAGCGGATCCGAATGCCGTCGACGAGGCGGGCAACACGCCGCTCCATCTCGCCACCATGCAGCCCTATGTGGAGCCCCTTTCTCACATCCTGCTCGAGGGCGGAGCTCATTTGGTGAGTATTGTATCGCAGGAACTCCTAAACATTTTACTAACGCGGCTCTGGATTTTTAGGACACCAAAAACGATGCTGGCGAGACGTTTGAGAGTCTGCTGGCCCCCACGCCGATGCATAAGATCATCGACCCTATGAAGTACACAACACTGGCGTGTTTAGCTGCAAGGACGATCAAGAAACATGACATCCACTACGAGGGAACCGTGCCAGCCACTCTGTACGAGTTTATCGAGCTGCACTAGAGGCGAGGATCGGGACGAGGACTGGACGAGAGTCAAGCACTCAATTCACTCAACCGCTCACTAGATCACTCGCAGTAGCAATCGATCAACCGCCTGCCCGCCCGCCATCCATTAAATGATATCTACTACTATGACTACCGTCTATTTACTGTATATTTAGAGATGGAGAGAGAGTTCGAAACTATGCTGAATGAAGAAAAAAGTGAAAATGGACGAGATCGTTACTAACGACTGGAAACTGATTTGTGATGTTAGCAAGCAAAGTGCCTGAATCGACGGATCAGGACGATAACTATTATTGACAACGACAACAAAACAGAAGCCAATAAAAGAAAACCAGGCGGATATCCGAAACAACGCAATGAAAAGTTCTAGAAGAGATAAATTGCTGTCTTTGAATTTTGCTTGTGAAATCTGTTGAAACTTTCTTTTTTAATTATGTGTTCTTGCTACTCTATTTTGTATGACTTATGATTAAATAACATTGTATGTACTTGTACTATATGACCAAAAGCCTGGGCGTGATTGAGCAGCTTAATTTTAATTATCTGGCACATAGCCGGCGACTCCTCAACGCTGCAGCAACCACGCTCAAGCCACGGAAAATCCAAAAACCAAAATACCTAAAAAAAAAAAAAAAAAAATATCGGCCACCACCCACAAGTCACGTCTTAGTGATGCGTTTGTTTATAAACGAGAAAACGAAGTTTTGGAAATATACAAACTGTAATTAACAACAATAATCAACTATTGGTTTATAACTGGAGCTAAACCTCCTCGTCCCAAAGCAACATAGTACTAACTTAAAGAACCCAAATGCAAAACCTTAATTTACGATATCAACGTATGCATATGTGTATATATTAGCGTATTCAGATCCCAGAAATGGGGCTATGGAATATGTGAAAAGTTTGCTGACGACTTGGCTTATCGGAGGATTAAGTATCATGTTTGACAAAATACACTGGTGGCTAGAAAATTATATTGCTTGAAATGATCTTTGAAATGTAAAATTAAATTTAGATTTTTACAATTGATTATTGATTTGTAAATAAATCACGGCAAATTAAGACATAATCATCGAAATTTAGTTTAAATTGATTAGTTTATTAGTTAATTAGAATCATATTTTAGCTCTAGAACAGCTGAATTTTCATATATCAAAGGGGACTAATAGTAGCAAAATTAATTAGTTAGATGACTTTTAGCTTATTGGAAAAAATTAGAGCCCTAAACACTATTCTAGCCACCATTGTATACTGAAACGAAGATTGAAGTGCATACATTAGGCAAATGCTAACATATAAATATTGTATCTATGTTAAGCTATGCAAATGCTAAACTGCACCTTAGCCATAAAAGTCTGTGAGCGGATAAGGTCGAACTTGGCTCCATCAAATCGCTGTATGTTCATGGAGAGCAGGCTTTTATCTAGAAATGTGTTTGGCTAATTCATTGCGCAACAAAATGTTTCCTTTTTTTATTATTTTGGATTTTATTTATTTGTTATTTAAAAACCTCGCATTGGAAAACATTTAGGCACCCGAATTCCCCGATTTAGTCAAAAAAGCTTTTCAATTTAATTTTTCTTTAAATCTAAATTTAGATAACTGACTTTTTGTTATCCGAATAAGGTTGAACAAAATTAATGGCGTTTTTGTTGCACAGTGTTTAAGGTTGGTGTAGGAGAACAAGTTTGCATGTCTTTTAATTGTCTGTATGTATGTATGTATGTTAAACCTCAATTTAAAGAATATTTTCGAGACAGAAATAAAACTGATAACTACATTTTAATCAAAAGGCTATAAAAGCGGTTTTACGGTTCAACTTTGGTCATAAACTAAAGAAATGTTCCTTCCAACAGTTCGGTATATATTTTTGGCGGTGGTTGTCGGACCTATCCTGGTGGCTTCCGAAGGGATCGAGTCCTACGAGAACTATTACAACGAGATCCATGTGGACGATGAACAGGCGGAGGCCAAGACCCGCAATGCATTGCAATCGCCGCTCCAACGTTGGCCTGGTAACAAGATACTCTACCGAATATCTGGGGACTACAGCGAACAGGAGGTGACCAATGTCCGGACAGCGATGTCGAGTTTTGGCGAACAGACATGCGTGCAGTTTGAGGAGATCGAGGGATCTCCTCCCACAGGCAAACGATATGTGTTCTTTAAGAAATCGCCGAATATGTGCGGAACCCGAGTGGGCTACCAACCTTTATCCTTTGGCCCCCACGATGTCGTCCTAAATGAAAGATGCCTTACCATGCCGGCGGTTATCCAACACGAAACCCTCCACTTGTTGGGCCTTTTCCACGAGCAAAGTCGTCCCGATCGCGATGAGTATGTGAAAATCGACTACGACAACATCCCGAGAAAGTACTGGTCGCAGTTCATGGCCATGGATCAGACCACCACCTTTAATGTTCCCTATGATTATGAGAGTGTTATGCACTATGCCAAAAACGCATTCGCCAAGGATCCCTCAAAGCCTACGATCCGTGCCCTAATCAATGGTGAGGAAGTGGAGAGGGATATGGGACAGGTGCGTGGTCCTTCGGAGGGTGATTGGACCAAGATTCGGCTAATGTACAAGTGCTAAATGGGGATAAATGGCCTGCGAGGACTGGGATTGGTAAATAAAGATTCGGCTATCTGAATGGGATGTCTTCAAATGGGATTGGAAAATTAATTAAATAATTGTTATTGGCTCACGACCTATTTAAAAATTGTAATTCATTTACCATTAATCGATATTGATTTCAAAATCTCCTCCCTAACTACTCCTAAAGTAGTATTCCCTTAATGCCAATCTTTCAATCTCTGCTAACTGGGAAAGCGTTTTTCTTGCCTCTTGATAATGGGAAGTCGCTCATACAAAAAAGAATCAAAAGCAAAACCCAAGGCGATTGCATTTGATTTTGTAGAAGTGCAAGTGTAAGTGTCAGTTAACTTTGCAGTAGACGAGGAAGCTGTTGAAGAAGAAAAAGGGGCTTTTGGATGTTGAAAAGAGACTGCAGTGGATTGGGCATGAGGCCAAGCGACTGGGCAGCAAACAATCCAAATCCCTGGCACTTAATGTGCACTAAGTGCTTAAGAAGGCCGAGTGTCTGAAGCTGCCTATTTGAGCCGTCACAGTCCCCTCTGGGGTCCTCCCACTTTTAAACTCTCTCCACAATGGTAGTTCCTGGTTTTCAAAATAAAAACCCCATACCAGATGAAATCTGAATATAAAAAGTGACAAAGGGAAGAAAATGCTTAACATTTAACTTTCTTCAAACAAAATTATTCTCCTTTTCTTACGAAATGGTGTATTACATTTCATTAGGTGTTAATTTGACAAATGAATAGCATTGACCTTTCGTTTGGCAAAATGATAGCCTTTTAAAAAATGTTCAAGGAAAGAAGGTTGATATTTAAAATTTGAAAAAGGTGTGCAGGTCTTGTGTTACCGTTGTAAGTGACAATGAATCTGTCCTCCTAATACTAAATTTTTTTCGCAAATTTAATTATAATTTTGTTATTACCTAATAGTTATGTTTTATTTTAGTAGTAGTGGTATAGTGACTTCATGTAATCATCGTCTTAAAAATCAACTTTTAAAAATGTCTATACCTAAATTACTGACAAGATTTTTTAGCTTAGATGTAATTCTTAATTTCTTGAGAAAATGTGTTTTCAAAAAAAAATTGTAAATACATTTAAGTCTATTTTTAAATTAGAAACGAGTGTATAAAAATATTTTGTGAAGTCATTGTACTAACAGTTTTTTAAAGCTCCTTTGGCAAGTCTTTTGAAGCGCTTAAAAAAGAGCTTGCTTGGTTTTTGATATTGAAGATATTTAATATCTTCTTTAAAGCAGGCCAAATGCTGTGGCATTGTAAGGATGTCAACAAATGGCCACAAAATGCTGCCTTTAAGAGAGCGCAATTTTGAAGAGATCCCAATAGCATTCGGGAAGTTCGAAAGTGCCTTACGTGAGAGAGAAGTTCAACTGGAAGGGAGCAGGCAGGATGGATTTATTTTGCCCCACTGTGATAGGCGGAAAAGCTCGCTCTCTCACCAAAAAGGGGAAGAGGAAAATGGGAGCTTTGGCTGGTCGCCTGGCTTTTCTAGCCGACGCCGTTCGTGTGGCTTTCAGTGTATTCAGTGCAGTCGTCTCGTTCGGTTCGTTCTCACGGTGAAAAGCGGTGGAAGTGGAAGGTCCTGTTCGGAGGACAACCTCAATACGCCACTCACACACGCACAAGTGGGCCCACACACACGGACACGGGTGCGGTAGTCGAAAGTAAAAGTTGTCCAATGTGCAATAACGGTAAATAATAAATGAGCCAATGTGAGATATAGGCACGCAATGTGAAAAAAAAAAAATAATGGAAATGCGAAAAAATAAAAATAGAGAGCTGCGTGCCAGGATGCAAAATCAAATATGCAACACTCAAGTGAAACGGAAATCCATAAATAAAGTGTGCGGAAGTGCCAGCGTATATTTAAATACCAAACTGAAATGCTAAGCTAAAAAAAGAAACCAAACTAAACTTAGAACACACACCTGCCCATCTGATCCTTCAACTCAATTCTCACCTGCCAAGGCCACACGGCGGTTGTGGAATATTAATATACATTCAGCGGACGCACACAAAAAATATTTTTCAACTTTGTTTTCAGTTTGTTTAGACCCTCAAGGTCGCCCAGGAATACAACTTTAACGTGGAACAAGAATTTAAGAAATAATTATGTAATATACTTTGTGTTTCCTTTTTAAATTTCGCGGAAAATGTTACGATTTTCCCTCTTCTGAACTTTTGCCTTTGAACGGGTTTTTTCTTTCGTAGCTCCCTTCGGGCCCATAAATTAGGGTCGCATTCTGTTTAACCAAAAATATTTGCATAAAATGGGAAAAAGGGCGAGAAATGGTTTAAATACAGGATTCACACGGCTGAGATATCCAACACATGAAAAAAGGGGGCCAATGAAACAATTTTACGGGGATTGAGGGGTGGAGATAACGCAAAGATTAAAGACCCATTTTTTTTAGCAGATAAAAAAAAGTGAGACTAAGAGCAGAGAAAATTTCAAGGTTCATAAACATTGAATAAGCCTAAGTTCAGTTTAAATTCAATTAATCAACATAAAGCCACCACAAACCAGGAAATCAACGGACAAGCTGCGGGGTGAGGTAAGCCCGATTAATTTTATTGAGCTAATTATCCGATAATTTCTTATTTTATTGTCTAGTTAACACCGATAATCGTGTATTGCTCCAAAAAAAAAAAAAAAGAAAAATCCCACACAATTGTGTCATTGTTTGTTCTCCGTTGTTTAGTGGGTGGTGCGGTGGTTTTCCCGGTGGTGGAAAAGTGGAAGCCACGGGTGGCAAGTGCCTGTGTGATTGCTATATTTCTTTATTGTTTTATTTTATTTGTTTTACTTTGTTGTGGTCAGCGGTTGGGCAGCGAAAGTGGTCCTGGGATGGGTTGGGATTGTCAACTCAATTTAATTATGAAAATGCCAAGAGGTGCTCTGTGCACACACGTGCCTAAACACACAGGTGGGTGTGGGTCCAATTAACTTATCGACTGGTGTAGTAGAATGATTGAGGAGCAAGTATTATGCTAATGAAAGTTCTGTGGGCTGTTTATCAGAATCAATGATTGACTGGACATGATAAATATGTTTTGAATAATTGAGTGGCAAAGCAACAGCAAAAACTAAGCTTATTATTAGATGTAGAATATCCAAAAATATAAATAGTAGACGTATTTAATAAACAGTAAACATAATGCTTTGTATTGACCTTTGGAATTATTATTCAGTCCAACGAAAAGGCACAGTAAAAGGCAATACATGTGCATTTTGTAAAATATTAAAAAAAACAAATATGAAGTTATCCCACTCGTAAAACATTTCCTCCTCATTCGTGGAAAAGATGCATTACTTAGATTGCCTTAGAAAATATGTTAAGACACTATTGCCCAGTTTTCCAACACCTTTTCTTCTCTGACAGGTAAAATTGCTACTTTCTTATGCAAAACATTTTCCCAGAAAATGTAACAAGATTTCATTTACCTTTTACTTCGGCAAGGTCATGTGTTTTGGCTGCTAAATTGAACTTTCTGCTCCCGAAAGTCACCCAAATACATAAATTATTTTTATTGTACTTAACCTTTTTCATTGCCTTGACTTTCCTTCCACATTGTCTGTCCCAAATCAAGATAAGTAACCAAAAAAAATACATAAGCTGGCTTTAACAAGCGAGTGTTCTATATTTGAGAATATTTGTGTTTAAGCAACCCAAATGCGGGAAAATAAAAAAGTAAAGTGGGCCGAACAAAAATGGCATTCAAAATTGTATGGGTAGACTTAAGCTGTATAAAAATATAAATTACTAAACTAGACACCGCATACACTAGATATTAATAATTTATGCAAGTATATTTACATGGACCTTTCTCTGCTATTTAGCACCAAACCAAAAACCATTTTTTTTGTTTGATAAATAAATGGTTTATATTTATAATTTGTTTTTTATCGAGAATACCGACAGAATATTCACCGGATATTCACATATCTAATGTACTTCTTGAAATATGTGAGCTTTGGTCAAAACGATCTGGATATTTACCCTATGTCTTAAAAAACTTTTAAAAGACGTCCAATTACAAGGCTTAGCAAAAACTTTTTTTTCAAAAGGGTTTTATTTTTTTAGTTCCGTTGTTCACCCTTAAGACTTTCTACATTTAAATTATTTAAGGAATCTATTTATTTCAAGCGCGTCCCCTTTGAATTTTCGTATGCTGAAAACTACATTAAATGTTTATCAATATGCAGATTATTTAAATTGATGGGAATGGGAATTGGGTGCATTTGACTAAACACGAAGCCTTCGAATTATCGGGATTGCCATTGATTTAAAATGTAATTTGAGATGATTAATATTTTCGCTTTTCCCCGACATTGCTCTTCTGCTCATATTTCCAATTTATTTGCTTACCAGTTATTATTTTGTTTTATTTTAAATAGCACAATAAACTTAAAAATTGTATGCAAGTGCAAAATAATATTTTCATTGTGTTCGCGTTGGCATTGACATATTTATTTAATTTAAAATTTTATGAATACCCTTTGTTCAAGTTTCTTGCGCGTACAATTTTGAATGAATGAAATATTATGCAAATGTTTGACAAATAGCAGGAAATCAAAAGCAAACAAAAGGAGAAATTGTTAAGCGAGAAAAATAATAAAGGGGGAAACGCACATATTTGAATCAGAGAGAAGATATAATCAAAGCTAGAATATACATATATGGGTGTTAATCAAACATAATTACTCTGGTCATGCATATTTCATTAATTGGTGTGGTTTGAGATCCTGTACTCGTGCTCCACTTTTGTTTGACGTGACAGCTGTCGCTTTAAATGTCAATTCATTGATGAGCCATCAAAAGTTCACTTCAAATCGATTTGCGTCACTTAACAAAAAATATTATCTGAAAACTGTAATTAGTTACAAAATCCGTCGGTTTTTCTTTAAAATTCTGATATAAATATTTTTTTTAACTCTTAATTTATAAGATATTTGTATTTTAATGTACGATTTTCATTAGATTAAAATTCTCTGGCTTCCTTAAAGCTGTTTAATTATCAACCATATCCTTCGTACTGCTATGCTAGTAATTTCATTTTACAAGAATTTTCGTTTTACTATTTAAAACAAATTAATTTATAAACTGTAACATTTTTAAATTACATTGATTGGATATCAATAAATTTCTCTGTGTAGGGATAAACTTTTCCTTGGAATGAGGTTTTGTATGGATGGCTACCCACTTTTTAATGGAAATTATAATGAGACGTCGGTCTTTAATTATGCATGGACTTGGACTTGGGTTCAGGTGGGCTTTCAATGGGTGGTTCAGTGGGTGGCTTAGTGGGTGGTGGGTGGCAGGTGGGGTGCTCGGTTAGCCGGTCACGCCCTGGCACTTACAACTTAATGCCCGGCCATCAGGATGACGTGCTTAACCCACGACGGACCTTGGCACTAATTAAAACTAACCACCGACAGCAGCTACAGCCACAAAAAATGCTTGAGAAAAGGAGGAATTACGGCAGGCATCACCTTGAGGCTTTTCCCATGCCATTTTTCGACAGTTTTCCTCTCCGTCTTCCATTGTTGGCCGGTGAAAGTTTTGTGGCACATTTCCCTCGGATTTGCCACGCATTGACACTCAGAACTGGGGGCTGCCGCTGCATATTTTGTCAAGCTCTGACATTGCACTTGATGACTTTCCCACCCCCACTGCCCGCCGCCCTTGGAGGACACATTTTTTTCAACTTTCAAAGTGCCAGGGGGTAGGTTGAAAACTTTTGGCAACGCAGCTCGACAGTTTTAAATGAAACTTTTGCTGTAACTTATACTGTGACGAGTCTGGGTTTTGTTTCATTTTCCAGTGCTTTTTTTTTCGCCTTTTGTTTAACGCTTTGTGCCCCATTATTTTGGATTCTGTCAGGCACTTTGTATCTCTGCTCCTCCATTGTACCCGCGCACTTTTCATTTGTTGCAGAAATGAATAATGAAAGTTGTAAATAGACATAATACGATCAGCGCTGGGAAACATTAGCGAAAAGTTTTTCGGAAAATGGAATGCAAGTGCTCTCCAGGGTCTCCATACAAATGCCGAATCGAGTGAAAAGTTATCTCTGAATTAGCCAGGGGGTGTACTACAGCGTCCTGATCGCGAGATGTGAAAGGATTTATGAGGAAAGTTGCGAGGAGAACTTAAATTATTGCGTCCTGAACTTTTAATGGTATTTATCTGGGGTTATTTATAATATACGATGTTAAAGTTCGAGAATATTGTTTTTATTCCTTTTGGGAAAAAATGTGCAGTAAAAATACATACTATATATCTGTTAGCCCTTTAGATTTTGTTTTGTTGTACTGAAAATCAACTTATTATAATATTTATTTTTGTGTACGCTGAAAGTATGCTCGAGAAGATATAATATAGCCACAGAATTTAAAATTTGCTTTCATGCTCCGAATTGGCCGAAAATAAGAATGTTCCAAATTGTATTGTTTCTGTATTACAATTAAATTATTTATAATAAAAGTGTTTAAAATTTGTTGACAAACACATAACTCAACAGAAAGTATTACCTTTGAGAATTAAAAAAAAAAGAATGTTTGGTTACTTATTAAAAAATGCATTGCGGTTTTTTTTCCGATGTTTCTGCAAATTATAAATTCCACAATTCTTCCCCTGGCACTCTTAATATATTATTTGTTGCCTTTAATAAAAATCACATTACGATATTGCCTGCGCAGCGCAAATTTCTGCTTTATCCTCACAAATTTCTTGGATTTCCGAAAAAAGAGGGAAAACTGTTGTCGCCAGTTCCAGAAACACATTCATAAAGCAAACGGAGCCAATCCAACAAGACAGGGGAGCCACGCGCCGCCAGATAATGTAATACATATAGAAAAAAAATAAAAGTCCTTGTTTCAGGTGGAAAGGGCATGAAGCTGGGCGTTTGTTGGGTGGTTTTCGTAGCAGGGACAACAGCACGTGCCAACCGAGGCTCCAACACAAACATACAAATTTCCATTTATTTTGACTTTGACGTTTGAATTTTTAATGAAATTCCAAACATTTTTAACGCCCCAAAACTGTTTTGTTGGCCTTTTCATCCGCAGGCAGTGGAATCCTGGCATCCTGCAATCCTGGATGGACAGCAATCGGCTAATGATGATGAAGTGAAATTGTGTTCGAGCCGAAATTAAATAGAATATAAATCGCCGGAAAAATGGCGGCGATTTGTCAGCCTCTGTCGAGCAGAACAAATGCAAAGTAGTTTTACAACTAAGAGAAGGATATTTTACGAAAGGCCATATCCTAGCGAGAATTCCGGAAGTGGATTTTCTTTTTTGGCTTGTTGTTGCGGCAATTTCACGCATCGCGGCAAAATGATGATGACGGCAGGCGCTAATCAGGCCGCCCCCAGCCACGCCCCCCAGTTATTCCGCAAACACATTTTCAAATAGATTTCCGAGGAAAAAGGAGAAAACAGGAAAAAGGGAAAACCCAAAGGGAGCGTAGGGGTGGCACCACGCTCGCAAGTGAAATATTATGGCAACTTTTCAAATGGAAATGCGCCAGCAGCAGCAGCAACGAACGAATTTAAAGCAACGAGCAGCGGCACCGGCAACATCCAAAGCCAGGCGACAACGACAACATCTGGAGCTGGAGCCCTCAGACCCACCACAATTCAGCACGGATTGCATAAGACTTTGGCCAGGAAGTGGCTCCTCCACCGCTGACAGGGTCACCAGCAATCCACTCACCTGCAACACCACCACCAGCAGCAGCTACATCAGCGGATCCAGCAGCAACATCATCCGCCACGTGGACTACTGCAGCCGCCAAAGAGCGCTGATAATGCTCAGCATGCTAGTTGTCGTCATCGCCCTGATATCTGGCAATGGAGGTGAGTGCTACACCGAACAAAATATTTGAAAATATATTGAAAAAGTTATACAACAACAAGAAAGTTAGCTAATTCTGTAGGTCGATTTTTCTATACCGTTAGTTATAAGAGAAAGGTACTAGTCAATAGACATTATGGGTTATACAATTACATAAGACTCTATGAATTTTCATATGCTTTTATACGGAGATCGTATGACTTCCGCATTTATGGCAAAAATATGATTAAGAATTTCTGATAACAAAGTTATGCCTATTTGTCTATTAATCTTCAGATAATTTGTATGACAAATATATGATATAGTCTTTCGATCTCGGCGTGTCGTTTGCATTTTTTATTAAAATATGTTTATGCTTAGCCAACTTCCAACTACCAAAATTATAGACTTTAAATATTTAGTTCTTATTGAAAAAATATGAAAAATATATAACTTGCTACTAGGTATTAAAATAGAACTGAAAAAATAAATAAAATGAATTCTGAAGACTATTGTTACTACTACTACTACTACTATTTCAGTCATCACAATTTCTTATAAGAAACAACTTAATTTTGGTAATTCACTGGCTTGCAAAGTTTCCAAATTTCGCTGCAACAGAAAGTTTTAGTCTGAATAGTTTTTCTTCGGCCTTAATTCTGGCAAAATTTTGGGTTTATTCACAAGCCAAGCTCATTTCCCATTCCAATTGCTTTCTTTTTACGGCAGGCACACGACCAACAAACATGGAATACGAAAACTTTAATCAAATTTGGTGCTCCAGTTTCCTTTTTTTCTGTGTGGCCCATTCACAAAAGTGCAATTGTTGCCAAATTGATTTGACCAATTTCATTTATTGATTTCGATTTTCGATATCATTCATTTTGGCCGTTGTCATGCCTAAATGAGTCAGCAGAAAAACCGAGCCAAATCAAAGCGAGCTGGAAAATCGAGAGGAAAAATCTATCAGCATCGAGTAGCTGGAAAACTGAGAGTGAGCCCCTTGGCTCGGCAATTTTGTTCTTACATAATTTTTCGACTTTCGTGTGCTGGTTTTTTTCTTTTATTTTTCGTTCTGTATTTTTGCTGCCTTGTGGGCTGCGTTTTTAGGTTAGGTAATTAATTTTGTGTGCCTGAAAAGTCTTGGGAAATCAATGTTTTGGCCAGGCCATGAGCAACTCCCAGGCGATGAGAATATTCCAAGCCCTGATTGTGTGGGTGTGCGTCCCGAGCCGCCGACGTGTGGGTTTGAGCCTTGGCAGGCTCTTCGTTTATTCGACTTTCATTTTTCATATGCCGTGCGCTGGCTTAATGACTTGCCTGCCTTTGGGCCAAATTCCAATGCCGCGTCAAAGGATTGGCGGGGCGACGGAGTTAAATCATCATTAGGCCCTAATGAACCGGCCACCGTTGGGCAGAGTTGGCCAGAGATCCATAGATAGAGGACATGCCATCCGTATATTTAAATTAGTTCAAAGCAATTCGTGGCAGCTTTGATTTATTTTCTCTTTTATTGAATAATTATGGAAATTTTTAAATTATCTTAAATACTGATAATGTTTGTGGAGGTCGTTTCTCATTAATAGTTTTATCTTTACATTTTGGTGAATCAACAAAAACCAATGACTAAAGTAATAAAATATTTCGGTTTACCATTGTACTTTTTTATACTTTTTGTAAATTTCTTTATCGAATGATACTAGAGATATTTGTTATCTTACCATTTTTATATTTTCTTATTTGTGAATTTATTTATGCTCACTCTCAGTTCATCTGTAACTTAGCAATGTTATCCGCAAAGTTTTTTCCGAAAAAAAAAAATAACTCGCGGCTATTGAAGCTTGTTCGAGGCTGACCAACAATATTAACTAAAGGCTCAAATTACCGTGGCCGATTCCTAGAAGTGCTTCACTCAATTCCAAGGAAAAATCACCTTCCAAATTAAACAAAAAAGAAAGGAAAGCCCGAGGAGCTTTTTCTTTTAGTCAGAGTCAGGATAAAAGCCGCACAAACAATGCCCAAGGCTCCTTGACAAATGGAAACCTTTAAAAATTTAAACACACAATTTCTTTGCAAATCGTTGAGGGGGACACAAATGATTTTTAATTTTTTAAGTGAATTTAAAAATTTAAGCATATCTGTCGTTTATTTTTTTCCGCTGATGTTCACCTTAGAAGACAGACACATAGCATGCGAACGGGGGGAGGGGCATAAAGTTTTGACATTTCAAATGCTTCTGACAACAACAACCGCAACATGCCCCCCTGTTAATAATAACTGTGCGGGCATAAAATTCCACCAAGCGAAAGAGACAGAAGAGGGGGCGGAGAAAGAGACGGGAGACGGGAGAGCAGGACCAAGAACAAGGACATGACAAAGACGAGGCTACAGATGAGCAACAGGAACATGCCCTGCGGTCTACTTGCGCCCAAGTTGCTGACGTTGACGTCGACGTAACAAACCCGGACACAAGACACAGGACTCAGGACTTTGGACCAGGGACATGGGACATGAACACGGCAAGGACTGCGACTGACACTAAAATTGCGACCCCGGTACATGACTTTCTGATTCCTGCAGGGCGCTTTTAAGCCAAAACACAAAACAAAACTGAAAATAAAACAAAATTTGCGGAAAGCATGAAATAAGTTTTAAAATGGTCCTAAAATACTCTTTAACAGAGCTATTGTTAAAATTGATTAATTTAATTTATATAAAACCTATTGGAAATAATCCTAAACATAACTTTACAAAAACTACACAAAGTAAACCAAAATGTAGCACGGCTTAATCTTTTGTGAAATGAAAATTTTTAAATTAATTAATTTAATTATAAATGTACAGTCATTTTAAGAGCACGAATGAAATCTATTAACGTTTCAGAAAGAATTATAACTGATACTGTTTGATTATATATTGAATGTTAGTTAGTAATTAAAATAAAAAGTTATAAAACTATTTTCTGTAAAACAATAAATTGCTAAAGAGGGGTTGATATTTAAAAATATTTTGTATTGTTTTACAATATAATATAATTCATTATCGAAGAATCTGCTTTCTTCTAGTCATTATTGGATCCTGCACAAGGGTATAAAGACACAAAAAAATAAAATAAATATTTTCGTTGGTGGTCTAATTTATGTTTGGCAGCCAACAGTTGACGTTGCGGTCTTTTGTCCCTGGCAGTCAATTTATTTTAATTTCTACCCAGCGGCGTTTTATTTATTATCATGTTTGGCCCAGCCCCGCCCCCTTGAGCACCCTGAACTCCCACGCAACAGACATTGGGTGGAGTCAAGTTATTAGCAACATTGTTTGGGTCTTGCCAATTGAAGTCAGCCGGCAGACCGAGAGCTGGGCCAAAATGCAGACGGCTCAAAACGCTATGGCTGTCAATAGCAGTTGGCTTAGGGAAATTGAAGGAGTCAGAGAACGGGGGAGTGTGGGAAAAGCGTGTGGAAGGAAAGCCTCTGAGGGAAGGAAAAAGGGAAAGCCGGAGCTGAAGCAGTTGAAGCAGATGATGAAGGATATTCGACTTATCTGGTAGGAACATGGCCAGCGGGCTAAAGCTGATGCTCAGCTAATAGTTCGGGTAGTAAACTAAGGGGGTTGCGAAAGATAGAGACGGGAAGACACAAGAGAAAGAGACAGAATCATAAGAGGAGCATGCATGTAAGAATGTGTGTATTCTGGCGATGAGCTGAATTGCATATTACGTGACCAGGACTTTACGAAGCACAAGATTTGTTCACCAAGATTATGATATGTTATAAAAGATTTATTTGGAAAAAAACTTAGACAATAAAACATATTTTCTTGTAAGGCTTTTGATATGGCAGTAAGAAATAAAAAATATTAAAATAATTTAAATTATTAAAATTGTATTATTCCTTTAATCTATACACTCGTAACTGTATTTCGAAGACACAATTTTTCGACTTCGAACACGTGACGTATGAGTAATTTTTGTAAAAGATCTGTTGAATTATTATATAAATTAAAATTAGAAGTGGAACGGATGTAATTTATATATTGCCTTAACAATAATAATTAATAATATTTTTCTTATACTTTGAAAATGCAATGTGATTCTTAAACTGTCTTGTGTTTTGATATTATTTTTTGAACTCATAGTAGTCTTAAATAAATACATACAAATTTCATATAGGCTCTAAACCGCCATAAATTGATGAATATCAGAATATTAATTTAAAAACAATCTATTGTGCTCAAGGATACAATCATTTCTAAATTTATTGAATTTGTTATCACTATAAAATTAATAAACGTTTTTAGGCCCAGTAGGCATTTGCTTATAACTCAAATGAGTATAGATAAAAACACTAAATCAATGACAATAAATAATAATAATCTGCTACGATAAATAAATATAAATTTATTTTCAAATTGATATTAATTATTTTAATTGATATTTTATATCAGTAATCTGGTTCGATAAATAAATACAAATTTCTTGTCGAATTGATAATATTTATTAATTAGACGAAAACAAAATCATATATATTTTTTGTATGCAGTGACTTTAAACCGTGATCGAGTCACTGGCAGCATCACAACTGGTTATTTTTGCCTGTTCGATGTCTGGGTCTCCGGGCAGCGACGCGCACAACATGTTTAATCTAATAAAGTCGCTAGCCAGTCTTGCCGGCTTGGACTATAAAACTGCTGGAGGAGAGTGTCATAAAAAGACGTTAGCTGCGACGTAATAAGCGTATCAAGTGCCTCGGGATACAAGCGAGCCATATTCGACAGTCTCTGTGGGTGGAGCTTAGTTTCTGGCCCAGACGCAGTGGCGTCCTCGCAGCTAAGTGATGGATAAATGCCGGATAAAAATGGCTCGTAACTACGCCAACAACCAGTTAGTACACACAAGCTAACACACCAGCTGTGGGGCTGTGCGGGAAAAACATGAACATTTGATAAACAAAAAATTCCCAACAAACAAAAAATTCAGAAAAATTGGGTAGAACCAAAAACCAAAAGTTGGGATTTACCTGCGAACCAAACCAAAAACTTTGCTGGCCTCCCAAAAAAAGTTGTTAACGTGTGTTTCCGATGGTGTGTGCGTAATTCGCTAATTACCTAAATGGCTGCCACAAAAGGTGGCAGTATTGGGAGTCAGGTTGTTGGCTGTTAAAAGTTCACCCCCAAACGAGTTACAAGGTTTTCCAGTTGTTTGTTATGACCATCGATTGAAGGACTTTATGGCGTAGTTTTTGAATTTGAAACATTTGTAAACTAAAAGCAACTTTGGAAATTACCTGGATTTAAATTTGATATGTTGGGAGAGGTTGGGAATCCTTTAAAAATGTAATTGTTTGAATTTGAAACATTTGTTAGCTAAAACAACTTACGGTGTTACCTCGACGTAAATTTGATATGTTAGGAGAGGGTCTAAATGAAGTGCTATTATCATTTTTATAACATTTATGTAAGGATTGTTTGTAGTAGGCTCATTGGTAGCAGTGCTTCCTTGTTATATTATTTATTATTGAATATTATGTATTAACAAGGTTTTGTAAAAAATAAATACTTTCAGCAGCCACAAAAGTATTTAATTAAATAAAAAAAATTGCTTGAGGTATTTACAATACTGAAAGTGAACGATACTTCGACTTTGGCCCTACTTTTTGCGATTGAAACATTTGCTAATATGCCACCCTTTTCATTTCCGTTTTGCAGTTTCCGCCGCTCAGCGTGACTCGTACAAATCGAAGGATGTGAGCAGCAGTAACAATGCCCTGCCCAACGAAGGAGTGGGAGGATCTTCCGCTGGAGTGGACGAGGCAGTTGGACCCACTGGTGTTGCTGGAAGCGGAAGCGGAAGCGGCAACAATAGCAGCGGAAATAACAAAAATGGCCAGGCATCTGGCGGATCGGATCGGCCAGCCTCAGAATCCGGGGCGATGACAACCGATGCCAGTCGGAGCTCCGTTGCCAGCTCCACCACCGTCATGGGCATCCCCAGCAGCAGCCTGCACAAGGCCAGCAGCGGCAGCAGCAACACGTTCTCGTCCCAGATTGCATCCGGCTTCCATCGCAACAGCATCGACCTGCTGGAGGAGGCCCGCAATGCGGGTCCCTACTTCGACAAGGCCTTCTCCAAGAACGTCACCGCCCTGCTGGGCAAGACGGCCTATTTGAACTGCCGCGTCAAGAACCTGGGCAACAAGACGGTGAGTTGCGGCTGCGCAATGCAGCCCGGATTTGGTTGATCGGATTTTGCTGAAATCAATTCAGGCGCCGGAAGGGCGAAAACCTAATTTAAGTCGATCAAAATATTTCGTAGTCCTTTTTGTGGTAGTAGCCTTAGGCTCGCCAATCTTTTTTTAGATTTCTTATAAATTTTAGTTTGTTGAACCAACCAAATCATTGACTTTAGAGCACAACCCCCACAATAATAATATTGAGCCTAGCTAAAGTGTTTGCCTTGTATATAAAAGATTCAATGTTTTTAATATGTGCAATTTTTAATTAAGAGCATTCTTTCACAGTATAAATTCTCATATGAGCGTGTTTCTTATTTATTAATGTTTTTGGTTCAATTGTAGATACTGACCAAATATGCCACATTAACAACTTTATAAGTTCGGAAAAAATTCATATTTATGATTGCTTTTTTATCGCCACCATTAAGCTATGAAATTGAACAAGAAAACACCCATAACATAACTGAGAAATCAGATTGTGGAAAAAAGCTTAAGCTTCAGGAATAAATAGTTAAAAATGTTATTTATTTATTGGCCAGAATTTAAATAATTCGGTTTACACAAGGAATTATTTTACAATATTTTTTTGAGAGCGAACCATGAATATTTAAACATATTTTTACAATTTGCCTTTAAATTATTTTAATTGTAGATTACATTTTTCCGATATGTTTTATTTTAAAACAGCTCTAAAAAACAAAAAGTATCAAGGCAGAGAGGCACAAAAAATGTTAAAAGACCTTTTTAGAATTTGTGTTATTACTTGTTTTTGCAAATGCTGAACCATGAGTCAAACGTTTGCCATCATTTGACAATTTGCCTTGTAATTATCGTGTAATTCCTTTGTCGTTGCCATCAAAATGCGATTTGTGCCTGTGCATGAGTTGCTGCCCCACTGTGTATTCGGATTTTTTGCAGGCTAATTAGCACGTTGAGTGGGTCCACACGGGGGTGGAGTTTTCGGGGGCGGAGTTTGGGCCTGCTGGCTAATTGTTCCGCTTGCCAAAGAACAAAATGATTAATTATACCCAAACAGGAAACAGATTTTACTTTATTCAACTTTTCGTCGTGAGCGGAAGGAAGTGCCGCAAACATTTCACAAACACAATCTCCAGCACCACCACTTCCACTTCCGGTCGAGGCCTTCATCCACCTGGGCGGCGCTAGGAAAAAAAAGAACATGTCGGGTGCCGACTATCAGAACCGTTACCGGTAAAGGGGGCGAGGGGATGGAGATAGAAACTTGATCACGCATAACTTTTTAACGAATGGTCCGATTTGAAAAATTTCTCTACATTTCGATAGGTATTGATAAACACAATAAAACTGCATTTTACTTTTCGAAATATTTAAATTTTAAAAAGCGTATATAAGCGATTGTGGGCGTTAAAGGGGCGTGGCACCTTTTGAAACAAACTTGCGCTGCGTAGGAACTCCTAGAATCTGCATGCAAAATGCCAATCTTCTAGCTTTTATAGTTTCCGAGATCTCAGCGTTCATACGGACGGACGACAGACGGACAGACAGACGGACAGACAGACGGACAGACAGACGGACAGACAGACGACAGACAGACGGACAGACGGACATGGCTATATCGACTCGGCTAGTGATCCTGATCAAGAATATATATACTTTATAGGGTCGGAAACGCTTCCTTCTAGCTGTTACATACTTTTGCACGAATACAATATACCCTTTTACTCTACGAGTAACGGGTATAAAAACTATTCAAATGTAGGAAAAACCAAAAAATTTCGTTTAGTTTTTTTGTTTGGCTCTGCAGGAGTCCAGGTACTTTTAGGCCGTAGTCATTCGGTTTCCGTCATTTCCGGCGGCGTCGACGACCGGAGAAGGTCCCTGCCCGTTTTTCCGATAATAATATGTTACATGTCCCGGAATTCTAGGCATTCACCTCCCTTTGCTGCTCCCATTGTGCACCGAACTTTCCTGACAGCCTATGATTAGCTCGAGGTTCTGGCTTGTTTGAGTTGCGGTTTCGAAAACTAATTTGCGTGATTATTAAATTGTAGAAAATGGGTGAGAGCGCAGGCAACCTCAATTTGAGGATGGAAATCGAGTGAGCCAAATAGGCTTCACCTTGTGGTAGGACAATGTGAAAGTTTCATGCTCGAGAATGTGGGACAGTCTCCTTTCCTGGGATAACTTCATTAAACGTGTTAAGTGGGATAGCTTCATCGATCTCTCGATACTTCTGGAGAAGAAGTTAATTAATAGCGTAGAACTGTTCAGTACTGAGAGGTTGTTTAAAGAATGTGGGAGTAAATAAACTTAAAAAAAAACGTTGAAGAAGTTTAATATCTGTGAACATTCTCAAGAATATTACAATTTTACATAATATTGGTTTATCTAAAAATTAGTAAAAATATTTTTTTCATTTTTCTCGCATTATCATACATTTACATACAATAAAATTTCCTTTTAAATAAGTTAAAAGTTTCATAAAAAATGTAAGCTAAAAAGCTAACAAATTTGTTTCAAATTTTTAAGTAGCGTTTGCGGCCTAATTTGTATAATCTTAAAACCTAATACCACCCTATAAAATTCTATTCGCCAGACAGCTTAAGAAAATATCCATTTCTTGCTCATCAGCAACATGAAAAAAACCCCAACACATTAGGCAACCTGTAAAATATATTCATTACCTTCGTGTGGCAGCTTAAAATCTAATTAGCTTTCAGTTCTGCGGTGAACCACAAGCCCACCCAAAGGCCACCCACATCCGCCTCTTTCTTCCCCCAAGTTTTCCATCCTCTTACCTCGCCGCCCCTTCCGCCTGAAGTAATACATCATTGCTGCTGAGATTTGGCAGCATCTGGGTGGGAATTAAGCTGGTGCGATGGGAAAATGCCAAGGAAAAAAGATAAAGAAAAATCCTTCTGTTTTATGCTTGTGTATACACACGTATACGTGTGCTCTTTGCTTCACACCGTCTATAATGATAAACAGCGAACGGATGTTGATGGTCCCTGCATTATTAATGACGTTTTTCATTTGCGCTTTGCCTGGGGAGAAAGCTTTATGTTTTAATACCAGCCACATACACAGCCAGGAGCCGAATGTATTCGCCGTTCGTTCATAATTCTAAAGAAATAAGGCAGACCATTTAAGGTAGAGGGGAAAGGTACAAAGGACAGAAATATATTTTTATGTCGTATCACTAGTCCTAGTTAGTTCCTTTGAACAGTTTTCACTAGCTTGAAAAAAATAAAATCATATATTTGAGGATTCATAATTAATGATGATGTATATATACATACTTTAAGTATGTCTCAAGGTTTCAAGTACACTTTAAATAAAAATTAATTTGGGATTTATTTTCCAGTAATTAAGTTGATCTATTTTTCTTTCTAAAAATATACCAAAGGATCATCGATATTTAAAACGACATGAAAGTAATTTACCACGCCAAGTTGCCTGGCAAAATCTTTTTTAATAATTTATATACATTTTCCCGGCTTCACAAATTGAGTTGTAAAAGAATATTTTCAGATTTTGATGTTCGTTTGGCAAGCAGTAAATGAAAGAAAATATTGATATGCTTAAAATTTTACGATACTGTAAACAAGGTTAATGGGCATAAAAAAATCAGGGGCACGGGAAAAATGAGTGAAAATTTGTGTGGTTAAGGGGAAAAAGTTGTTGGATGTTGGGCCACACCTTCGGTATTACTGCTCGAGGAGTTTAGGTGTTAATTACATGCAACTTTGCTTAAGCAGCTGCCAAAGTTTACCTTTGTGTCTGGCAACAAACACCTGGTCCAGGCCCCGCCCCCTGCCGCCCACCCATCATCGCTCATAGCTCCGCCCTCCTCCCCGCCCAGAGTTTCTTGTCCATTAACTTTGGCAAAGTCGTCCTCGGTGTCGTCGTTCATCGTTAGGCAGGATGTTGCTAAGCTGTTGTCATTGAAATTGAAAATGCTAGCAGCTGACGTATGACACGCAACACAGCCAGGCGTGTCCGCCACGCCCCCTTTTCCACTGCCCCCACTTAAATTTCAAAGACCCACTCCACGTGACATAGGCAACCCCTAAATCAGAGTCACTTAAAAATGCTGCGCCTTTGGGCAGGGAAAAGTTGAGCATTAAACAGCAGGTGGTTGCCGAAAGCGTTACTGCACTTAAAAAAAAACATTATTTTTAACTTATTTATTTGCGCTTTATCACAAAAAAGGGAAATTACTAAGCAAAATCACTTTAAACCAAGTTAAGATAAAACTCGCGTGGATAAAATGTTCGATTTCAGCCTTATTTGGTTGTGAGAGATTTCTGGTGTATAAATTATTTTAATATCAAAGATAAATTATATAAATTTGGTACTAAAATTATATAGATTTTTGGTTCATCTCTTTTTTCTCATGTGTGGCATGTGTGTTAGCCCTTGTTACATTGAATTTGTTGGGACAGGTTGTCTGGCAAAGGACTCACTTCATCCCTGCTCTTGCCATTTCAAAGTTTTCTTTGCCAAGCCAAGCAAAACGAGCAAAAAATGTGAAAAAATCATATAAAATATTTCAAAATATATTTGCATTTTACACGTGTGGGTCTGACACAAAAGGCGACTCGCATGGTTCATTCAAGCAGCTGCGTATGAAATTGACTTTTTAAACAAATGAAATCTGAAGTCTTAAGTCCTTTACCTAAACTTTCCTCTTTCTCCAAATCATTTCAGATGTTGCTTCAGGTGTCGTGGGTGCGACATCGGGATATACATTTGCTCACAGTTGGCCGATACACATACACGTCGGATCAGCGCTTTCGAGCTATTCACCAGCCGCAAACCGAAGACTGGATGCTGCAAATCAAATACCCGCAACATCGCGATTCCGGCATTTACGAGTGCCAGGTATCGACTACACCCCATATGAGTCACTACATTCACTTAAACGTCGTTGGTAAGTCGATAAATTTTGTATCCAAAAGTAACGAAAAAATAAACCTTACTCCTAATATGCATTTAATTAAAGCTAAATAAACATACTATATTATGTTCATCACATTCAATTATCGATTTTAAATCAAGGAAAATATTTAGTACTTAGTAAGTGTATTTGTATCGCTGTATATAGATTTGTAAAAGTATTTTAAAATGGATATTAAAGACTAAACTTTATTAAACATAATTTTTAACTTTAGTACTTCAAAGTTCAGAGAAAATCTAATTTTATTTATAAGCGCACCTTCTAAAAGTATCCCCCTCAACCTCTCGAGTTGTTTAAATTCTGAAGTTAAACTTTGATTGAATTAAATAACGATAAGGAAAAACGAAGTGTAAGGATAAATATTTCTCTTTCACCACTCGCGCAATTCAATTGAAAAGGATGAATATAATTTTCCCATTTACAGGGCCACTGAGGAAAAGATTTTTCTCGACATTTGCACTCCAGACTCCTGAAGCAGCCCTTATGAAAATCCCCCTTTTGGCTAATTGTTATTTTATTCCAACTAGACCTGTAATAAAATTCTCTTAATTCCACTTATTTCCAATTCCTTTTTTTCCTTTTTAGAACCATCAACAGAAATCATCGGGGCACCCGATTTGTATATAGAAAGTGGTTCTACTATAAATCTTACCTGCATCATACAAAATTCACCGGAGCCGCCAGCTTATATCTTCTGGAATCATAATAATGCTGTGAGTTTGAGCTCCCTAACTCCAACCCGTTTCCATTTTCCAGGACAAGCAATTACTTTGGGGCGTCATTATCGCTTCCCCCTTCCCGAAAAACCCCCTAAAGTCTGAGAACCCTTTAGTGTTCAATTTAGTAACTTTTAAATTAGCTTTGCCGGGCGTAAACTTTCCTTCTTTTGGTTTTTTTTATATTAGGAAATGCCATTTGGGGAAGGAAGTAGGAGCAGAGCTTGGGAAAAAGGGTTCTGGTGTGGGCTTTAAATGGATTTTGGTTTTGTTTGGTCTGAGCCACGTTTTAGTTTCCACTTTAGGTGTTTTCCTCACACTTCATGCTTTACCCCTTGGCTTATTGTATTGGGCTTTAAGGGTTGACGGTCCTCTATTGTTATGTATTTTCTATAGAGCCAGCGACAAGAAAGGGAAAAAATATTGCCATTAGTGCCGAGAGTTCCTCCCTTTTTTTTTACTTGTGCCCCGAACAGATTTAATTTTATTGTTTTGTTTCGGTTTTATTTGCAATCTCTCTTTCCTTACTTTGCATATTTTCCGGGATCTCCGACTTATCTCCGCCCACTGAATTTAATTTGCCAAGTGTGCAACAGTGCGTATGCGTAATCTGGACTCGGTTTTATGGCTTAGAAAATTGTAGGGACCCCAAACGTAAATGTAGAAAAATATTTTATGACTTTCAGAAGTTCCCCTCTCATCCGCAGATTATCAACTATGATTCGCCGCGTGGAGGAGTCTCCGTGGTCACCAATAAAGGCGATACGACCACATCGTTCCTCCTAATTAAATCGGCGCGTCCGTCGGATTCGGGGCATTATCAGTGTAATCCATCAAATGCAAAGCCCAAAAGCGTTACGGTACATGTGCTCAATGGTAAGTAAAATCAACGACAACACACCCGCACACAAGTTCAGCCACAGGACATCAACCAATAAAACAATGCGGCACGCAAAAAAGACAGTATGCAAAGTGAACCAGTGCAAAAAAGTGGATAGCACAATGGGATTACTAATGGGTTACACGACGAGATTTGGTGTGAAAGACAGCAACAAATAATGGGTTGAATAATGGGGTTGAAAGCAACAGCGAAAAAGGAAGCAAGTGCATCCAAATAGGAAAAAATAAGTCGAAGTGAGCTAATGGTGTTGGCAAAAAGTTTTTAATTGCAATGTAACTCAGGTTAGAAAAGGTACAATTAGTTTTTTTCTACTTAGAATGACTACCTAATTAAAAACTTGTTGTATTTATTTTTATTATATTATGTCAATTATATAAAAAAATTACTTTTTTTAAACTCTAAGCCACAAATAATATAAATACAAAAATTCCATAATTTTCCTTTAGTGTTAGCAATTTAACAGATTATATTCTGAAATTGCACTAAATTACTTCCAGTAATATATTTTGTTGTGGCCCTAAATAAAATCTATATTAAGAGTATAACAAGAAGTGCTTCAACAGAAAGTACTTCAATTCTGCTGTAGTGGAAAAATTGTTTAGTGAGTTCTTAAGAAGACATTAAATAAGCCCAAGGGAATTCAAGGATTACGAAAGCGTAATGACAAATGAAGATACCTTAAAATTTAAAGAAGCAAATACGCTTTTAATTTGATCTCTGTTTAAAGTATAGAGACTTGAAACTAAGTCCACTGCCCCAGCAAGTTAAGTACTGACAGTTGCTTAAGAATTTCCTTCTCAGACCTAGAACCAAGATCCAAATCCCCTAAGAGCAGTTAATACTGACGACCAGCCTGAGTCAGCATATCAATGGCTAAAATCTGTCCAAAGCAGCCATAGAAATTGCAGCTGCTAAAGCTCCTCGGGCAGCCCAAGAAGTGACACAAAAGCCCAGAAAGATCCAGGGCAGCGCAAAAAGAGTCCATCGAAACAGGTTGCTAAAGAGTGCCAGAAGCAATGAAAAGAAGGGGATAGTGAGTAAGCAACGAAGAGGTGACAATAACTATCCAACAAAGTGTGGCTTAAACTCAGCCAAACTAAGTGAAAACATCAACAAAAGGGTGTGAAGGCACCTATTCGGAAGCCAATGAGCAAATATTGATTAGTAAATAGTCTCGCTTTATAAAAAGGAAATGGGGGAAAGGAGAAAAGGGGGAAATGGTGTCTATTTCAATATTTCCACGTATATTCAGCTAAACCAGACCAGAGAGCTCAGCTAAGTGAAAACTGCTAAAAGTGGCACGTGAAAATTATAGGAAATGGAGCGACAGTTTCTTTCCCGTTTCCCCATACCCAGCTGTATAATGATTATCCTCGGAACCCCCATCTATTTATCCTCATCTGCCCTGTCTGTAACCAACCACTCTGGAAGCCATCAATGTTTGCCGAGCAAATCTAGCCAGGGGGTAAAATATGAAACTCAGGGGGTATTTTAACTTCCGAGGAGTAAGTGCACTTGGTTACGGGACTTGTGAGACTATAAAGCTTAAATAAATATACCTAATAAAAGAGTTTTTAAATAAATAGAGAGGATGAAATGTATCAATTAACAAAATTGAAAATGATTAACTGGATATATCAATTTGTGAAATCATGCAAAAGATGAGATAACTGAAATAACATACTATTGTTTGCTAACTTTTTCATAGGCAGAGTATTTAAATGCACTTGCCTTGCAAACTTTTGGGTCTTGGCCTCCTGCCTTATCTGGCACGCGTGCCACATGAAAATTATGTTTATGTTACGGTCCTACCTCCTCCGCCCACCCCTCGACCCCCACCGACTGTCTAGGAAAACTCACAGCAGCAGCAGGAAAAGCTGGAAAAGCCAAAGCAGCAGCAGTTGCTGCACGCTACTTCCTTTGCGACTTTCACTAATGTCAAGTTGTCGTCGTTGTCGCAGCAACCGTGTCTGCTAGATAATGTCACACGGCGTTGTTTTTTCGCAAAGCACCCACAATTATGAATACACAGAGAAAAACCATTTTGAATTTACCAATTTTATCAAGACATTATGAAAATTGTAACAAGCGATATTTGTTCTTGGAAAAATAACGTTAGTCTTCAATACAAACTAACGGTACTAAAATAATATTCATTTTATAAATTTAGTTTATAATTAACGCCCGTAAATCTGACCTTGCTATTTAAATAATATATTATAGAAAGCAGTTGTATACTTTTAAATATAAAACTTAATTTTTACGTTGAGCAAGTATTTCTAAAAGGCTTAACAAAAAAATTTTTAGCGTACTTTTCAACAGCTAGTTTTGCCTAACAAATTTTCTTTTAAAAATGAAAACAAAAGTTAATTATTAACGGCATCCCAAAGGTTTTATCTAAAATAAAAAGTGGATTTCCGGAATAGGATGCTATTTTCTTTCTCTGTATTCATGTTTTAGGGGTCTGCATGAAGGGCACTCATCCCTGTCAGCATATTGCGCATGCAGTGCGCGTTGTTTCCGTTAACTGCTTTGGCACACTTGTTTCTGATTATTATTATGTTTTGTCTCTTGTTCTGCCACTTTCACCATTGTTGGTTGCCGTTACATTTTGCTTTCTTTGTTATTATTATTATACGCCCGTCAACGTTGTTGTTTCTGCTATTATTCTGCTTTTGTTGCCATAGTGTTGCAGTGCGAAGTTTTCCACTCACACTCCTCCGCACCCATCTGGTGTTAACTTTTTGCATTACTTTGCTTTTTATTGTTTACTGTTAGCTGTAATGCGAATACAGGTGTAGAGGTACGTATATATGTGCATACAGGACACATAGCGACAATGCGAAGCATTGGAATTGTGTGCTTGTTTGGCTTGCCGCATCACCAGCGACGGCATCATCAATGGGGTCAGAGTTTTCGGTCTGGTTCGTCTTCAGACTTTCAGGTTTCCCGACTTTCAGGCTTTCAGGCTTTCAGTTTCATTGCCGAAGGATGGGGGACTTAAAGTGCAAGTTGGGACTTGCATTCCTCTTCGATTCTTGCCAGCTGCACTGCATTATAATTTTGTTTTCCACTTCTCGAGAATCAAAAGTTATAAAGGGGCGACATAAAGTTTTTTGATATCTTTAGTTTGCTGATGGAAATACAAATTCCATTAAAAAGAAAAGGCTTAAAATGGCTGCAGTTTTGTAACAGTTATTTGTGCTGAGTAACTCATTATTAAACAAATTTTAAAAATACATTTTTTTAATGAAATTAAGAAAGGTTTTCTTAATAAACTAATTTTGTCAAGTTAGAGATTATGACGAAAATTACATTTCAACAATTAAAATATTGGTTAAAGCAAAAAAAATATACCAAATCTTTAATAAATATTTGTATTTCTCTATTGTAAAGTTAATGCTTTTGCAAGCATTACACCTTGCTAAACAAGGAATTTTTGTTAAAATGTTTTGCAGTGTTGATTCTTCCTTTCTGTTTTCAAACTTAAGCTGCGAGTTACAGGTGCATTTCTTTCTGTCGTCTTTACAGTAAGTTGTAAACAATCAACGGTTTCACTAGTTTGGTTTGCAGTTGCCTTTATTTCTAGCCGTAGAGCGCAGCACTCGTTTTGTTGGTTTTATTTAGCTGTTTGCTGGCTTGTTGTTTTGACTTTTGCGACAATCCCAGTATTGTTTCATGCTTTCGTTTTATCTGTGCAGTTTTATAGTTTGACAGCTTTTCGGGTGCCACGAGCAACACCAAACAGTGCCCTTTTCAGAAGCTGGTAATCCGGTTAGTGCTGCAGGATTACATGGCGTTAAGTCTTGGGACTTGAATGGGAGGAGCAGGACCCTTCCACTTGAAAAAGAAGTCCCGGGGGAAACTAGAAAGATGGACAGCAAATAAACTGAAACTAAATCGTGTTTTAAACATTTTAAAAACTATTAAAAACACAGAAAAAGGAAAAAGTTGTGAATAAAATATAGCTTAATATTTGAAAAGGCAACAAGTGGTTTATTTATATTAAATTTCAAAATATTTTGATAAGCCACAGCAATGTTCATTTTTATTTGAGAAGTCACCAATTTCGGTGATACTCCCTCATCATGCACACCCACTCACAGTCACAAAGCAAACTACTTAACGACTTTTCATTTCCCCCAATGTCTGAGTATGAGGACAGCAATAAAGATGTAAATTAAACAGGTGTTTCCCATTCCGTTTCCAGGGGAGTTCCCAGCAGCAATGCAGCACGCGGCACCAGTGCATCCTCGTCCCTCGCCCACTCGCTGTCTGTTTGTGTACCTGTTTGTGTGCTTCTGCAGCTGGGCGCTTGCAGGTGGATCGCTGCGCTCCTGGGCGCCGCTCTTGCCACGCCCCCTGCAACGTCGGGCTGTTCGCCACTCTTTGGCGACATGCGGCATTTCTCCGCGAGCGTTTTGAGGTGGCGATGGCGAATGCGATGGTGTTGGCGCTGGCATTGGAAAAGTACACAGCTGCAACATCAGCAGGCGCAACAGCAACATCAGCTGTCCCAGCAGCAACATCAGCAGTCCCATCAGCAACATCGGCTACTGAAACTACAATCAAGAAAGGAGGCGGCAACGTGTAGACAACTTTTCGAGGCGGACATAAGGTGAGCTCAACGCCCAACACCCTCCTCAAGGCCACTCTAAACTCAACCGTAAGCTGTAACTATAATAACTATAAAGTATACATACAACATACAACAACTCTAATGGCTATTGCGTTTTTCTATGAATCAGCGACGTATACGTAATATTTAGCACAAAGCAGAAAAATAAATATACCTAACTATAGAAAAAAAAACCGAACTCAAGCCATGTTGTCGCCTTTTTTTATGTACGACTTTGTATCATACAATGAAGCTATCTAAGTCTTTGGTTCCCTTAAAATTGGAAATTGTGTAAATAGGCTGCATAGCATACCTAGAGGCGCTTTTTTCGATCGACTCTTTCCAACCTTTGTAACTTTTATAGTCGAAATCCAAGCAGAAGGAAATCTTTAGAAAGCTGCTCAACACTGCATTAAAAACGAAAATAAAAAGCAAAAGAAAATATTTTCTAGCAAATACCAGAACAGCAAACGCTTCTCGACTGCCACTTTGCGACTGTTCCCTCGAAGGCAAAGGGAAATTTTCATTTGCATTTTGCGAAATCCTAATAGACAGATAAATGTTCAACCGAAAGGCAATTAGCAAAACGCAAACTAAAAACATTCAACTTCAAGTACAGGCTATAGAAAAACGAAAAAAAAATAACTAGAAATTAATGCGAAAAAAACTGTGTAAAATATAAAAGAAACTTAAACCCAAAAGGGGAAATTTAGCTACAAGTTAAAGCAAAATAAAAAAAGAGGGAAGAACTCGTTGAGGGGAGAATTTTTCTTTGGCTGCATCTGAATGGTTAGAAATTAAGTCATACAATATATGAAAAGAGAACCCTTGAATAAGTTGTTTCGTTTCGTTCTTGTGCAATGTACAAATTAAATAAATGTAAGTATTACCCAACGTGCAGAGGAAATGGTTTGAAATTAGGATACGATCGGCATAAATGGAAAATTGTTGCACATTTCATAAATTTATTTGTTGTTACTCAATGCAAACAAAAATTAGTCAATCGTTGAAAAGTAAAATCATTAAGAAATATCGAAAAGAGCTCTGGGTCAAATGTATTTTCCATCTAATTACAATATTGAATTTCTATAATTATTCTGACGTTATAAAAGTGTTTTTTCCATCCAGATTTCCATGGTTTATTTCCATTTCTTTTTCATATTTTTTTTTAGGTTTGGGCCATTTAAGAACTATAAGCTTTTGTCTGGCTAATTTCTGTCAATACACCAAACTTTGCCATAGAGCACATAGAGCTAACCAAACAAATGAAAAATAAAGCAAAATAAATCCAATCGTTACAGAAAAACAAAAAACTATTGATAGAAATTAAAGTAAAAGGAAAAAAGTTTCATTAATCAAGCTAAGCATTAAGCAAAAACTAAACAAGATAACAGACAAAAAACAATTGAAATACAGCATGAGTATTCATATGCTAAACCAAACCAAATCCCGTCATGTTTTTTTCGATTGCCATGTAAAATATCAACAAATACACATTCAATATCTATTCATATGAGATTTTATGCGAGTAATTTCTCTTTAAATTGTGCAGGCTACAGAAACGAAAAAAAAAACGAATTCAAATTAGAATTCCATTGTGTTTGATGAGGCGTTTTATGGTTATTCGATATTTATTGCAAAAATGTTGTCAACTCTTGATTATCGTCAATCAAATGCACACACAATTTTCTTTTGTGTCATGTGAAATTTTCAAGGTGTTTTCACTTCACTCTGCTCAATGAAATTTTCTCGAAATTTAAAATTTCATCAACCATTTCAAATGGTGAAACATTCTTGAAATACCTAAAGTGTAAGACAACAAAAAATGGAAAAACATGAAATAAAAACGAAAAGACCGCATAAAACTGAAGTAAATATTGTATATGTAAATGTGTATTTATAAAATTATAATATAAAGAAAAGCTATATATATATATATATACATTAAAGAAACCTAGTTTATTTAACACAGAAAACCGAAAAAACTGATTCAACAATGTTATAAAAGCTAAACAAAAACGTAACATTTGAAAGTAACCTTCAATTAAATATGAGCCACACAGAAATACGATAAACAGAGAGCAAGAAAGGAAAATAAACTGAAGTAAAACAGACATCTTTTAAACGTGTAAGAATTTAAAATGTGCAAAAAACGAATGAATGAATGAGACAACTGGAAATAAAAGAAAAAACTGAAAAAAAGTAAACTAAAAGAAAACTAAAGCATATTATGTCAACTGTTAATTGAGTTGTTTTAATGTCCACTCGCTGGCTGGGTGGGTTAATGGCCCAACAAATGTGTAATAAATTATGCGTAAGTAAAAGTGAAACAAATCCTCGCTGGTCTACAACTAAACGCAAACAAAACAAGGGCAAAACCCATTTTTCATGGCGGACAAAGGAAACTAGAAGGGGAAAGATGTGGCATAAGCGATAATATAATGAAATGGGATTAATCATACGGCATGTAGGCCAGCCCAAAGGGAGGCATAATGAAAGCCGAGTCCTTGCAGGACATTACACACACATTAGCACGGTGTAGTTTCCTCCCTTTCCTTCCATCTTCACCATCTTCCTCGGCCGTCACAATTTAGAGCCCTTACGCCATTACGTGCCATTACGTTACGTGTGGCCTTACGTCGCTCGTTTTTAATAAATATTAGCACATAGTTAAACAGTTGAGCGCACGCTGATGGAAAATCAATAGATACACCCTGCACTTCTCACCCCTCTCACCACTGCTTTCCTTTATCCTGTGGCGCTGCAAAGTATGCTACATACACATATTTTATTGACGAAAAGTTTCGCGGAAAAGCAAATGGAAGTTGTGGGTGGACAGTGGGCTGGACTTCATGCAAAACCACTCAAGGACAAGTGGGCAATAAGCGAAAAACTTTTATTGTTTTATGTCCACAGAATTACAGAGAAGAAAATATAAAAATATTCAGTCTTTGCTAAATGCCCAAATATAAATAAAACTATTGATATGAAACATATGTTTCTTCAAGCGATAATAATTTTTTGGGGCTTAACCTTGGCCTCATAAAGTATTAAATATAAAAAATGATAATTCGATTTAATCTGACAGCCTCAAAAGTCATTTAAAAATGGGCAATGTGGAAGAAAATAAGTAGAAATATGTCAAAAATTAAAGACACAATCGGTCCGCATTTTTTAACTGTGTGACTTGTGTGTGGCTGCTGTCACCGTGTCAAGTACAACAGCGGGCTGCAACAACATCATTATAATGTTTCATACATTATGTCCAGTCCTATAATTTCCTCTCCCGTATGCATGGCTTTTCCCCCCCTCCCCGCAGTCACCGCTTTTCCGCAAGTCCCCCATCCATATGTAATTTGGCACTTTCAAGTGCTGCAACTGCAAAATGCAATTGCATTCATTGGTGTGGGCAGGAATGCCACTGAAAGTGGGCGTTCGAAGTGGGCGTGGATCCCCGCATTATAATGCAGCAGTTGTACGGTGTCGTAGGTGTTAATAGCCTGTTTATGGATGTTGCGCAATGTGTGAATCCTGCGTCAATGACACCAATGGAATTCGGTCTAGCATATTGGGTTTCGAGTGGGATTAGTATTTGTCAGCTTTTGGAAGTTGGATTTTGGGAGCGAGCTAACGTTGAATCCATCAACTAGAGGCGCACAGTTTAATTGGTTAGACCAGAATTGCGATGGATAATCATTCAATGCGGATTTGACGAAAATAATTATATTATATCCACATTACGGGAGTTTCGAAAATTGTCAGATTTAAACGGAAAGGTGTAGAGTTTATTGAGCTAGTACTAGTTTCACAAATCTTTTCACTAGATTTTTCCTGTAGCTCACTTTATTTTATGTTAGTTACCCGAAAAAGTTCATGTTAATGCAACCAGCAAAAAGCTTATCCGCGGTCCTCAGTCGGAGTACCGCCATCAGTCAGTCGGTCAATTGGCCCGGCCCAAGGAAAAAACCCTGCTGACACATATGGATGTTTACTTGTTGTTGACTGTCGGGCCTGCTGCAGTTTATGGCCGTAATACATTTCCCGCGGGCACTCCTTTTGCCCCAGATTGTCTCTCACTCTGTTCGTTTCTCTTTAGCATTCTCAGTTATTTGCGGTTTTTTTCGGCCGAAAAGTTATTGAATTGTTACAGCGGCCGATTGTGATAAATCAATGACAAGTCGGCCGGCAAAATCCAAGCGTTAATAAATGGCTGCGCTGCGTGCGGTTTATTTAATTTGCCATAAATACGTATGCTCTTGGGGATCCTGCCATAAAGTCCATCACTCAGCATATTGATTCGGACCAGGCCATTGCTTAATTAAGGCCAAGCTGTGGGCTCCTCCGATTTCCATCTGCATCTGGTCGAAAAACACAATCCGCCCTCACCGAATGTATTTTATTAGATTTCTCGCCCAGCTGAGCAGCCCCAAGATAATCAGCATTAAAATATATGTGCATGAGCAAAGTTGTAGCCATATACACTTGCAGTCATAGCAATATGTCCCGAATTCAAAATAGGAAAAATGGTAAAATTTCTGTAAAATTAAAAAAAAATAATAACAAATTATGGTTTAACTTAAAGTTCTTAGGTATTTATAGAAAGCCCGATTTTTTTGTTAAAAAACTATTCGGTTTTAATTGCTTAAAATTAGTTTATATTGACAAAATCTTTAGGAAACACTTGGTTATTTATTATTTATTTTTAACTCAACTAAAAAATTATCACAAATAAAAAGTGATTTTAAATAATTGTTAAAAAGGTCCACTTCTAATTTTTGGATCACAGCTGTGGCAAATGCTAGGTCCTATTGCACCATGAAAAGTGCAACGTTCAACTCTTATTGGTTTAAGTGCCCCTCTGTGGCTGAGTGTGTATAAATACAAAGGCCTGCCCAGTTGCTTACGTGTGTACAGACATTTATTACGGTCCATAATCCGCAAAGTCTTATGCGTGTCTGTTCTATCTGCCCTGAACCCCTGCATATGTGCACTCCCCACAAATGGAACTATAATTAAATTAAAAGTTTTACCAGCAGTTGCAACCAGCAAAGAATGGGGAAAAAGTGTGGCGAGGAACCAGAGAAGTTCCTTCTCGTATTAAAATGAAATTATACAGCAGAAACCGCAACAGCACACATACAAAGAACTAAATACGCTTTGTAGCGGTCATTGGCCCAACACGTCGTATACTTAACCCGCTAAGCTGTTTTTCGGATTAGCCGACAAGTGGCTTAATGGCGAAAGTTAAGGGGAAACCCATCACAAAAAAAAGAGCATTGTGCATGAAATGACTGCAGTCAACTTGTTTTCAAGATTTTACTTAAGTAAAAATAACAAATATAAATATAACAAATATAACAAAAATATAACAAAATTTGACACAAAAAATTATCATTTTGAATATCAACCAAAATCAATTCATTTAATAGAAAAAGGTAAAAGGTAAAAACCCGTAAAAATGTTGCACCACCAGCTCCAGTTATTAGTTACTTAAATAAATTTATACCTTTCTCTTTACTTTTTATATCAATTAAATATTTCTAACTCTTTGCGCAAACTAATTTTCCGTTGAAAATTTACAAACTGTATTTTTAGAAACACGCACATAGCTTTAAAGGCGTGGCAAAGCGGTACCTAAGTAAATCAAAGTGTTTCAAAGATGCAATACTCTGCAATTGTATTTTTTGCCCTCAACTTACAATAAATATAAACCATATTTGATTAATATAATTTTTATAACAGCTTAGGGCTAAACAAAAAGATAAAATTGGTATATGAAAATGTTTCTTGACTTTCTTAACGTCTCAAAAAAACTTGCTTTAATTTTGGGAAAATTTACTGTTTAGTTAGATTAAAACGATATCTGTGACACCATTAAACATTAATCTATTCTTAAAATTTCAAGAAATAGTCAGTGCTCACTCCAAATATGCTTTTATTTACCCTCCACACAAATGCACAATTTGTTGCTTTCTCTGGTGAAAAGGTTTTTCCCTGAATAAGGGTCAGTTTTAAGCTGGAGGCGAGTGCTGCCCCAACTTTTCCTTACTGCAGTTAGATTTAGATTTAGAGATACTGATACGAGACTACAGCCCAAGTGTGCGGCTATAAATACATATGTTTTAATTTCCGCACTTTTGGGTCAGTCCTGGGAGCCCGAGCTTCCACTCCTTCTCTGCATCTCTCTCGATTCAGCAGCCATGTCGAAATGAGGTTCGGATTAAAGGCAAATGCGGATGTGAATGTTGCGTGTTTCCGTTTTTACCCACCCTGCCTTCCTCTTTCTTCTTCTTGTGCCTCTTGTTTGTATTTATGAGCATACCCATGTTCACAACAAGCAACATATTCATGCACTGACAAACATTTTTTGTTCAATTAAAAAAACAAATATTTTAAATTTGATCTTTTTTTATCTGTTATACTAAGAATATTAATGAAAACGTTTCAGCAAAACAGTTTCAGTAAACAACTATTAATGAAAGTTTAAAATTGAAGATATTAATGGATCTTGTGGTTTTCTTTTAGTGTCCCGGTTTCTGTTAGGGATAACCTAGACTGGCCACTCGCATCCGCTGCAAGTTTTTATTTTTTTCGATTTCATGTTTATGTTTTTGTGCGCACTTCAATGGCATGAATGTCCAATAACACACACCCACGCATACGGCTACTTTCATAAACATAATCATGTGGCATACGACAACGGCAGCCCGAAAAACATCCATCGATCCTTCCTTTCCGCCTCTCATTTCTTTTCAGTTCCTCGCCTCGCACAACTCGGTTAAATGACTCATGAAATTGCTGCTGCGACCCATTTTGGCTCTGTATTAGTGGGGCTGTAAGTGTGTGCGTGCCTGCGTGTGTGTTAGTTTCAAGTGCTCGTTTATGGCAAAGCAATATTGCACTATGGGGAAGACCACATTCGTTGGCCAAAACCATTTTGAAAAGTCGTCAAAACCAAAAAGTTGTTTTAGGATATATTAACAGAAGACCAATCGCAATGTTACGTATCAGGAATTCCGATAGAGTGCGCTTCTGTTAAGATAAAGCGTTAAATCAGATGTTTAAGATGCAAGCCACGTGCTTTGAAGTTCGACTTTTAAATTGCATTTTAAAGTGTTTAAAAAGCAGTTTATAAGCGTTCCAAAAAATTTTGTGATATGAATTCGATGAATGGTGGTGTGTACTTAGTGTTTATGTGTTTAAACGGTTGAAATCTATCGTGCTGTCTTTGAACTTAA